TATTACTAAACGACTATTGATGTGCATTCACACAGACCCATATTCGGCATGCGTCATTTTTGCTTTACTTATGACGAGATCAGGACCTTGCCGTAAGCTCCCGAGGCAGCATCACCAAAAAGCTACGCTTACTCGTTCTGCGCAAACCCGTGAAACCCGTGTAACCCGTGAGATCACATAGATTCCTATCTTATTCTCCTAATAGGTTGATTCTGATTCTGACCTTGACCTTGGGTCACTTCGAGTTAAGCGAAGAAGAGCCAGGAAACCTCGTAAGCTCTCTGCTAAACAAGAAGTTGTCTCGGCACCGGAAACAAGCCAAGTGTCGTTACTTGGCAAACCGTCTGAAGGTTGTGCGAAGGCGAAGATCACAACCCGCACTACTTATCAGCCGAAAATCTTGGTTCTCACCGAGAAGACATATTCTGAAGGTGTGCTTGATTCTGCTCAAAGCGAAAAAGCCTCACGGGACCCTACTCCTGTTATCAAGAAGAAAAAGCAGATAAAATCTGCTATAAAGCCTTCCGGTACAATCGATGAACCTAACAAAAGTAAGACATCGACAATGGAGCGAAAAACATACGCTGCCGTTGCTACATCATCGGAGGGGCTAAAGACAGTCCCATCACCAGTAGTGAAGCCACCTGCTCCGAGTGCCGAATCAAAGACCCGTGGGGTTAATACACCCCGTCGTGGCGATTCTTTCACGGATAGTAGCGTTATATTCCGTAACGCGGCTGAATCTACTGCTGTCCTTCCCGCTGATCGCATGTTGGACGACCTTCAATGGTTTAAAATGTGCGTAACGAAGCTTCTTCCGCCTGGTTTTCCAGGCGTTACTGTCAGGAAGCTGATTAGACTGGGGAACGTCCCAGTTAACGTACCAAACCCGCGACCGCGGCTACTTCGTGTGGTACTCTCTACCCCGGAGGAACGCAATGCTCTCATGCGGTTTGCGTTTAAGCTGAAAGGTACAAATATTAGCGTTCAGCCGGACCTTCCGCTAGCCGATAGGCTGAAGCTAAGGGAGGCCATCAAGGACCTCAAAAGCAGGCGAGCGGCCGGTGAACAAGGTCTCCGGTTAGTGGGTTTTCGGGTGGTCAGCCGGCGGTCCTTTTCCGCCCTACCAGTGCCCATGCTGGTAGCGCACGACCCAGGTCTGGATCTAACGAAAAACTTCAGATAGTGCTAAGTAATGTGCGCAGCCTAAGGAATAAGGTGTACGAGTTAGGTCTGCTTGTAGATGGGTCTCATCCCGATATACTCGCATTCACTGAAACGTGGCTGTCTCAGGACATCACGGATGGTGAAGTACATCTATCTGGCTACGCACTATTTAGATGCGATCGCTCTGCTGGCCGACAGGGAGGGGGCGTCGCTCTTTATGTGAGCTGTAAACTGGACGTTTTGAAGACTTGCTTATTTCAGTCGGCAGACAAAACTGTTGAAGCTCTATCGGCTGTTATTAGCACATCCTCGGCTCAGGTTACAGTTGTAATTGTGTATAGAAGCCCTGGGAGCGTATCCAAAGAGGTACTTGAATTCATTCGCTCCCAGTCCTCAAATAAGTGTTTGGTGATGGGCGACTTCAACCTCCCAGAGATTTGCTGGGCAGATCTTTCTTGCGACTCAGCGTCAGGCACATTTGGCGCTGATCTGCTTGAACTTACGCTCCAAGTATCTTTGCACCAGTTCATTGACCTCCCCACTAGGTACATGGACGCCCAAGTGCCGTCTATTTTGGACCTTGTATTCGCTAAGTCACTCGATTTTGTTGATGACATTACTTACGGACCTCCACTGGGTTCCAGTGATCATGTTTGTTTGCTCTTCAATTGTACTCTGTCTAGACGCTACCAGAGTACGGTTGAGTCTCGCCCGAACATATGGCAAGCAGACTATCAATCAATGAGAGCCAAGGCTTCTGGTTTCCATTGTGAGATCTCAGACGACGATACTGTCCAGGTTGCCTGGGATAAATTTAAGTCCTACCTCACAGAGGTCTCTGCTCCCTTCATACCAGTCACAAGGAGAAAGGAGGCCCGAGCACAGCCGCCCTGGATAGATCCCACTGGCAGGCATCTGCTCACAAAGAGGTCTAGATGTTGGCGGACTTACCGAGACGCTCCGTCCACCGATACTTATGACAGGTACCGTAAAGCTAGAAATAGGTGTAAGCAACACCTAAGGGATGCTCGGCTCAATTTTGAAAAAGGGTTAGCGGACGATGCTTCAGAGAATCCAAAAAGATTCTTCGCTTATGTCAAAAGGCGCTGCGCTTCGAACATGTCAATTCCAGTGTTGATGCGTGATGACGGTACTCATGCGCATACGGATTAGGACAAGGCCTGCGTACTCAGTGGGCAATATGCGGCAGCGTTTGTAAGGGAAACCTCTTTGACAGGCGTTGAGCTGGTTTGCAGGACCCCAGAGGGTTCAGAACTATCTGAATTTATTGTAGCGGAGACTGCAGTTCGTAGGCTGTTACAAGGGCTGAACCCTTCTAAGGCCTCTGGGCCTGATTTAATTCACCCGAAACTGTTGCATGAGTTGGCTGCGGAACTAAGTGGACCGCTCGCTATTGTGTTTCAGAAATCGCTTGACAGTTGTGCATTGCCTTCCGAATGGAAGGAAGCTGTCATCTGTCCCATCTTTAAACATGGGGACAGGGGTCTGCCTGCAAATTACAGGCCAGTTAGTCTGACGAGTGTAGTAGTCAAACTCCTCGAGAAACTGGTGAGAGATTCATTGGAGAGTCATCTGAGTAGATTTAATCTACTTAGCAATGTACAACACGGATTCCGGAAGGGATTTTCGTGTCTGACGAATCTGTTGGTAGCTCGCGAAAATTGGGCGGATGCAGTGGATAACGGCCACACACTGGACGTGCTTTTCGTCGACTTTTCGAAGGCATTTGACAAGGTACCCCCATTTGAGGCTCGCGCAAAAGCTGTCCTCCTACGGGGTATCTGGCCGCGCCCTTCATTGGGTGACTGCCTTCTTGGAGGGTAGAGAACAATGTGTACGGGTAGGCCGGGGTCTATCATTTAGGCAATCTGTCCTCAGCGGCGTGCCGCAGGGCTCGGTCCTTGGACCGCTGTTGTTCTCTATCTATGTGAATGACCTACCCACGGAGCTTGAGGTACCATCGCTGCTATTTGCTGATGACCTGAAGCTGTGGAACATTGTTGATGTTCCTGGGGGTTCCGAAGCTATTCAGCGAGCATTGGATAAGCTTTGGGACTGGTCTACTTTATGGTTACTGCCCATAAATCAGGCAAAGTGCTCCGTTCTTCGAATTGGAGGAGGCTGTCCTCCTGCGAAGTACTTAGGCAGTGGGGTCGAACTCCCCCGTGTATCTAGCCAGGTGTACCTAGGCGTCGTACACTCTTCGGCTTTACACTCCGGCGACAACTGGAAGAAGGCCGCAAGCAGAGGTTTCCGCATGTTGTGGTCAATCCGACGTTCTTTCGGAGTCTTGACGGGCGGCATCTTTACGAGGCTGTTCTCGGCTTTCGTTCGCCCTCATCTGGAATACTGCGTCCAGGCTTGTCCGCCCTGCCTCGTCCTGGACAAAATGGAGCTGGAGAGGGTTTTACGAGTGGGTACTAGGTTAGTCGAGGGATTACGGAGACGGACGTACCCCGAGCGTCTACTTAGGTTGGGAATGCATTCTATGCACTACCGAAGGCTTAGAGGAGACCTAATCCTAACCTACCGTATCTTGACTGGGAAGGTTGGTCCAGATTTATCTTGGCTATTCAGTCCCGCTAGATTGTCTGTTCTACGCGGTCATTCGTTGAAGCTGGACAAACCGCGGTCCGATCGGATTAGGGCGGAAATCCGGCTGTCACGCCGAGTTATCGACCGCTGGAACATGCTTCCGGAAAGTGTTATCAGGGAATCTACGGTTAAGGGGTTTGAGCGGCAACTTGACGCTCTTGGGTGGCAACACGAAACCTTTCCATTTTCCTGAGTAACGCATCTTCGTACTTCGATTTTCTTTTCTCTACTTTTCTTCACGTATTGGTAGTATTTTCTTATTTAAGTGCACTTCCCTATTCTGTACCTTCGATTTCTCTTCCTATCCTTTGCTTATTTCACGTGACTGCCAAAGCAGGGACTGCTAGGGCAGGATACGTGGGCATTAACTGGTTGGCCAGGGTGCGATACGGGTGTTTCCGTTTTAGATCCATCAATAACTGAGCACTTCATCAATTCCTGGCTCAACGATCCACTCAAGATGGAACACTCACGGGATTCTCCTATCGTTCCAGTCCCCATCTGAACTGAACTGAACTGAACACGAAACCTTTCCATTTTCCTGAGTAACTCGCATCTTGGTACTTCGATTTTCTTTTCTCTACTTTTCTTCACGTATTGGTATTATTTTCTTATTTAAGTGCACTTTCCTATTCTGTACCTTCGATTTCTCTTCCTATCCTTTGCTTATTTCACGTGACTGCCAAAGCAGGGACTGCTAGGGCGTATTGTGTATTGTGTGTATAGAGTATTGTGTTCAGGCCTGGTCACCGTACCTCCGGAGTGACATCATATGTATAGAAAAGATTCAGAAACTTGCGACCAGGATGATTGAAGGTCAACGAGGGAAGTCTTACGAAGATCGTCTAAGTAGCTTAGGATTACTTTCCTTGGAGCGGCGTAGGTTGAGAGGGGATTTGATAGAGACGTTTAAGATCATTAAGGGACTTAGTGGTATTCGTTCCACCCATCTGTTTGAGTTGGCTACGTCAGACCATCTGCGCGGGCATCGCCTGAAGCTCAAACATCACAGAGCTCGTTTGGACATCAGGGCAAAATTTTTTACGAACCGAGTAGTTAACTACTGGAATAAACTTCCTTCTGATTTAGTGGAGTCTGAAACCGTAGCAGCCTTCAAAAGGGGCTTAGACAATTGTTGGTCCACCCTTTTTCCAGAGCTATTGTAGTTACTAGTATATGTAGTGTATCTTGATGCTGGCATATGAAAGTGCAGTGACTGCTCTTGTTCTTGCATCATTCCATTGCAGAAGCAAGAAACAATCCAACGTCGAAGTGCTGGGGGCCGATTCACTTACCGGCACAAGAACTGGACGCTCGTTAGGCGGAAGCCTCTATTGTCCATCTGACCTGACCTGACCTGAAACATGGGCATTAACTGGTTGGCCAGGGTGCGATACGGGTTTTTCCGTTTTAGATCCATCAATAACTGAGCACTTCATCAATTCCTGGCTCAACGATCCACTCAAGATGAAACACTCACGGGATTCTCCTATCGTTCCAGTCCCCATCTGAACTGAACTGAACTGAACTGAACTGACCTTGAATGTTGTCATGCGAAGGTGATGCACCTGTTTTTGTTGTACTTGGGGTCCTGAATTTTCACATTCAGACTGGGATCATTCCAATAATGTAACAGGTACATTGGAGTGGGAATTAGGTAGATAAATATAAAAACGTGTTCGTCCACATGCTTTGCCCGGGGCAATGGCGCTAGACAGCGTGTTCCTTGTTGATACCAGGCTGATCGAGAGGTTATGAAGGCAAACGTACCCGTTTATGCATTCAATGCACCATCGAAGGGTTAGAGGGGACCTAATGCTAACCTACCGTATTTTTACTGCGAGCGTTGGCCTGGATTTGTCCTGCTAGCTAATCTGGTCTCCGCGAGCGTTGTATGATGCTGGACAAACCGTGGTCCGATCGATCTAAGGGAGCTGGGCTCTAACCAAGGGCGGGATTTTTATTACGGGCTGTGGTGAAATGTAACAGCAATCACGAAGAAATCAATGGCGTGCGTTAATAAATGATTAATAAGTTTTAAATAATCAAAAGGAATGCACTTAATATATTTATAAGGAGGTGAAGCAATCTAACTCTTGTGGTGAAGTAGTTTACAGTATCCATGGTAACACATGCCCCGGAAATCCGAAATGATGAATTACAGTGAAAGGGAGCTGGGCTCTAACCAAGGGCGGGATTTTTATTACGGGCTGTGGTGAAATGTAACAGCAATCACGAAGAAATCAATGGCGTGCGTTAATAAATGATTAATAAGTTTTAAATAATCAAAAGGAATGCACTTAATATATTTATAAGGAGGTGAAGCAATCTAACTCTCGTGGTGAAGTAGTTTACAGTATCCATGGTAACACATGCCCCGGAAATCCGAAATGATGAATTGTAACGAAACCGAAACTGTAACGGGACTTTGAACGAACCGCCACTTTTAACTCTCTTTCTTCTTTCCTTTTTCAGACTCGAACACGTTGAACAATGAATGAATCGTTATGAACATGTTTCCCATTTGACGCACCTACGGACCTTTTATACCACTTTGAATGACTTGCGTTTTGTTTTGTTT